TTTAGAATAAGTATATGATTGTTTAGCCATTGTAGTTACGTAGAACGATGGATTGATAGCGAGTGAATCTCATGGTTGTCTTGTGGACTATGTAAGAGTGTGCTTGAGGTTTGGACCTGAGGACAGGAATGACATCTGTGTTGAGACCAGATCGGTGATGAGAATGGCCTGACCAACCATTTCTCCTGAATCAGTCCCTCTTAGCACGATGTCGGGTCAAAGGTCAATGATTGTTTCAATTTTTCAGGGATAGTGAGAGCACGGTATTGCGCGTTGTGTCAGTGTGACAGTGTAGATTCAGATGATTTGTTTTGGGTGACAAAGCGTGTTAGGTAGTACTCTGGTATAGGGTTTGCGGTTCGATCATTAATTATTAAAGATTTTGTTTTGAGGATTTGTGACCTAGGTACAAGATAATTTGTTTTATTATTCTGGTGATTCATGATTATGTAGTCGTTGGGAGATTCATTATTTAGTCATCTTGAGGATGATAAGTTTAGTGATTTTCACTTGGTGTGGTTGGTAGTCGTTATACAGGTATGTAATGGTGTAGTTAAATGTTAGGTAGTGAGTGTTCGGTTTGACAGAGATGTGTAGATTATAGTTAAGCTTGATTGTGAGATGAATGGGATTCTTTGTCTAGAGTTTTGTGTGTCCTTTTAGGGAAGAGTTAAAATTGGATATTGTCATGTTCGGTGGTCTAGAGACCATTCTTCTTCCGGGCTTTGGAGTCTTGTGTAACAGTGTATAGTGGACTTGTCCGTTGAGAGTAGGATGTAGGGCCTAGTTGATCTTATGTTCTGATGTCGTGAGTAATGAGTACCCTCATAGGGTGGTGAGTATTGTGTTTTTGTGGCAATGGTGTGTGATTGCCTGGTGACATCCGGTGTCAAAGGCAATAATATTGGTGAATCCATGGTTTTAGGGTTTTGTGAGGTGTTATTTAGAAGGGGTGTGATTGTGGGCCTCCTTCTTTAAGGAGGGTAGATTTCAAGGACGAAATCTTTTAAGGAGGGTAGATTGTAATGTTTGTTACTTTTTATATATTTATATATATGTGTGTGGTGGCAAATTTTAAAAAGAAAAACCAAACGAAAAAGGTTTTTAGTGGTGGGACCCACCACTAATTTTTTTTATGTGTCCAAGAGGTCATGTTTTTGGCCTCACTTCTTCTTTTTCTCTCCCTCTCCCGTAAGCCTTCTCCTTTTCTTCTCTTCTTCTTTTTTTCTTTATTCTCAAATTTCAAGTTTTGATTAATCCGCAACCGTTAGGAGATTTTTGGTACCGTTTGCGGCAAAACGAAGAGCTCAGCAAGATCTACGCATGAGTATAAGCAATTTATCATTTGGTGCACCCTAGGAAATTCGTAATCTATGGTTCAAATTGGGGGTTTTCATCATTTTGAGGTAGGGGTGCTCTAATATACAATTTTTTGGATTTCTTGTAAAGTTTTCTTTTAATTAGACTATAAGCATGCTTAAATTTAATTTTTCTTAATTATGTTTGTTGTGGTTATTGGTATTTAAGTGATAAAGGCATGCTAGGTGTTAAGTGAGCTTAGAAATATGATTAAGCATGCTTAGTATTGATGTATTATATGCCTATGTTTTCAAATTGCTATGAAAAGTGATGTAGTAATTATGAAAATGAATTATCTATTTAAGTTATTGGATTTGCTAATTGAAAGTATGTAAAATGTCATGATTTAGAAAGTATGAGAATGTGATATTGTGTGGGAATTTATATTTTAGGCATGATTGATTGATGTGGATGAAATGTAGGAAATTTTTATATTGACATGGCATTTAAGGATTTGCATGGTTCATGCTTTATCATTGGGAAAGTAAAAAAGGAAAAGTTTGTTTTAAAAATAAATAAAATTATTTTTGGGGAAAAGTTTTTGAAAAATGTTGTGAAAACCCGGACGCCTAGGAGGTGCCTATTGGTCCGTGGTGTTAGTGTGATCTAGAGAGGGGCTAGAGAGATACTCTAGTGTGGTTGAGCTACCTAGGCCCAGACAATGCCATGGAGGTGCCATGTGGTCAGGAAAAGCTAGCCAACCCTTCCCTCGTGACACCCTGAAGGTGTCTTGGGTCGGATTGCACTAACGGTTTGGAGGATTGAAATAGTGTCATTTTGGAAATGAGAAGCGACATTGCATGGCATGGCATTGCATTGGTATACATTGTACATTTGGTGGTTAGACGACTTGAGTATGCATTGCTGGTATTATCATTGTTTTGCTTGTTTTCCCCGAGGCATAACCCCACTTACTTGTACTCTATTCCTTATGTGGATTCACGAGGTCATAAGAAGTGTGTCTTAGTCACTTCTTACTGAGCTTATGCTTACCCTTTTATTATTAACATTTTTCAAGATACGGAAGGGAAGTGACGGACGACGCTCCTCCACAGGGTTCGATGGGTTAGTAGACTGTTTTGACATATTTTGTAGTTATGATATCTTTTTATTATTATTGCTATTACTATATTTTAAAAAAACCCTGAGATGACACGTATATTATGTATTGACATAGGAAAGGACGGAAGTGTCCTTAGTTGACATCGGGTTCAGATAAGGATCCGGTTAGCGATTCGAACCCTCGAGTTCCGATCGTTACAGTAAACACAATGAAATACCCTATGTGTGATTATGGATGGGGAAGAAGCGGCGGCCATAGTATGGAGGAGGCGGCATGGGTGGTGGGAGGAGGCGGCGACCATGATGGGGAGGAGGTAAGAGGAGGCGATGGCCATGGTGGGGAGGAGGCTGCATCTTCATTTCTGTTATTTGGTCACATCAATTGGGCATCAAATTGGTTGTTTGATTAAATACAAATAAAATATTTAGAATTTGTTAAAAGAAGTGAATGATCTTAAAGGTTTGAGAGACATGATACAAGCAGCTGTCAACAGAGCCAAGGACAATGGGATGACAATTGAGAAGGATGCTGAGAGAATCATTCACAACCAGAGAAAATTCAACGCCGACGACCAGAGAGAGCTTCACAACGGCGACCAGAGAATGAATATTACGACAATAATGCAACAAGAGGCAGCAACGATGAGCATCTATTAGTGGCGTGACTGAATCGTCGAGCAAAGAAGACTGAACCAGCAACTACTCCGGCAAAAATGATATGACGATGACTATAAGGATGTCACGATTCCAGCGAAGGTACGGTGGTGGTGACGTTAATGATGGCCAGAGAAGATTTCGGCAGAGGCAGTGACAGAATATTCCTGGGACAACACAGCAAGGGGCAGCAGTGATGAGGGTAGCGAACAACAAATACTCCGGCAGAACTCGTCGGCGGGAAATGATCTACAATTTCGGTGAAGGTGAAGGTACGGTGGCGGCGAACAGTAGGTATGGGGTTTGAATTGACGCTCCAATCAGTTTGTTGCAAAGGGTGATTGTGGTTGCACTAGGAGGTGATAGGTGGTGGTAATGGAGGTCGGGGAATGTTTGGTTTTAGTTTTAATTATATTCAGGTTTAGTTTATCCCTGTTTTATACAATTTGAGATTTATTTTATCCTTCTACCAAACAGACATAAATTTACACAAATTTTGACAAAAAGGTCATTTTACATGACCAGTATTTATAATCATTAATTTATTTAACTGAAGTGGGGGTATTATCGTCATTTTATACCACACAGGGACCTATTTGCACCAAATTGACAATATAGAGGGTTTTTAACCACATAAGGATCGATATGCACTGTATCAATAGTAGAAGAAGGTTTTTTGCACTTAACTCCAAAATAATTTTACAGGATTTTCACATCCATGACACAGTTATTTCATATAAAAAAACTTACTTTTTAATATAAAAAATGACACAATTATTTTAGAAAAATATAATGTGAAATCTATTTTGAAATATTTGCAAAATGTTTCCTCGACAACATTATTTTATCATAAATAATCTATATTACCTTTCTTTTTCTTAAAAAGAAAATAATATTGTCACCACCAATGCGCATGGGATATGAATATGATCGGTCTCATGGATAGGAGAAATCGAATATTCGATCCTTCAAGTCTTAGTAAAAGCAGTAGACAGGTACGTCGGACCCAAAGAGGGCCCAACGGGGACAGCGTACTATTTTTTAATAAAATTATATTATACACCCATATATTTTGTAAATCTAAAATATGCACCTATTGAAATTATCAAAATACTTGACCGTAAAAATATGACTCAGGAGCGAAGCCCGTACATGTCCAGGGTACTTTTGGCCCCTCCCATTGTTCATATAGAAATTTATTTATATTTTATATGTGTATATATGGAATTTTTTATATAATATGTCCTGAAATTATTAATTTTTTAAATTATCTCTCATTTTTTTAGTTTTTTCCTAATTTACTCTTCAAATTCCTTTTAGAAAAAAGTTAAATTTTTTTTGTTAAATTAAATTTTAATTGTTTCCTTTTTAAGTTATCATTTTTCTTACTTTTTTTTCCTTTTTTTATTTTTTTTTTCCTTTCTACTCCTTTAAATACGAACTAATTTTTTTTCTTCTTAACATTGTGTCCCCTAAACTAAAATTTTGGCTCCGGTATATATTTTTTTTTACTCTAACCTAAACTTAATGGCTCGTTGTATTATGATGTTGAGTCGTTTTATGTCATCATACATATACAACTTCAAGTGTTAAATAATGGTTTGACTGAAAAAAAATATTAAATTGTTAATTAATTTAAAATTTATATTTCAAATACATAAATAAGGTGAGAGTTTATTTACTTGTATGTGACACAGATATTGATTCTACTAGTTGTAACGTCATCACAGGTATATATTTTGTATGAATATTACGGAAAAAAAAAAGCTACGGAGTATTACACAATCAGATGAAAAATCAATAATACTCTAAGAGTATATAGTAGTATAGATAATGAAGTTATTTTATTTAATTATTAGTTTAAGGTTTCTCTCTCAAATAATACTCCGTAATAAAGTTATATAATTGTGCTAAAAATAAGAGATGGTCTAACAAATTTCAAAACTAAATTTGCATCAATCAGGACCTGTTTTGACTTGGGCTTGGAACTGCCCCCATTTTTTTCGCACTTTATGGTACTTCCACTTCTAATACTCTCTCCATAAAAAGCCTCGATGATCTCTCCAACAACAATTTCTAGGGTTCCCTGTAAATGCAAATGGCGTTGGTTTATCTAAAAGCAGAACTCAATCGCTTCGTTAACTCTTTGCACGAAGAGGTAATTCAATACTTCTACACTTCGTTCCTCATACTCTAGACGACAGAGTTTTTGTTTTACTTTCTTTCTATTATTTTTCTCTTATACAAATTTATTTAGTCATTCAATTATTCAATTCTTTTGATTTTTGAATTTTTTTTTGTTAAAATGATGTTCAATTATCTTTAATTCTCATTATAAATTGTAATCTTTGCAATTAATTTCGAAGTTTCGTTGGTTGTGGAGTGGCCTTGTTTTAATACTTCAGCGCCTAGTTCTCTTGTATATGGCCAAACTCATATATATTCATGTATACTTGTACGTTACAATATATATATATATATATATATATATATATATATATATATATATATATATATATATTGTTTCTTTTACGCATCTTCATCTTTTCTAATGAGGGACTTGTCTAAGTTGCTACCATGTTGATAACCGCTAAAAAAGGTTCAAGAGAGAACCCTCATAAGTAACCTCATATTAAAAGCCATTATCAATAGAATTCATATTTTTTTTACATGTCCATGTAATTTGTATATTCATAATGACAAAAATAATTTGTGTATTCATAATGACAAAAAAGTTCTTAAAAGCCTCTTCATGGGAGTTCTTTGTTAGGTCACATTTGTCTGAAACTTCCAAAATTAGGACCAACTTTGCAAATCTTTCATTATTTGTGACATTCCTACGGTACTTGCACCAGTTCTTTAAAATAGTGGTAATTGTAGATGAATTAACAAAAGAGTAATTGTGATGATTTCCATTTACAATGTTTTCTTCTTGAAAATCACCCCTTATTTGGAATTTTTTATTTTATTATTTAAATTTTTTGAATTTTCAGCAATATAGATTCAACCAAACTCAGTTCCACTTCAATTCAGAAACATGTAATAATTTAATTTAGGTTAACCAGTCTTCTAATTCTGTGCTGTTATTTCACCGACTGTGGTTTCTTTAGATTGTTATAAGAAATCAATATTGGAGGAGTACTAAATGTTAACACAGCCTGGTAGTGAGGTAGTGTTGCTTGTTAGCGAGTTGTGTTAATCATATTATTTGCAGGGGCTGTTGGACGGTCAGTTTACTCAAATCCAAGCCCTGCAAGATGCAAGCAATCCCAACTTTGTGGCTGAAGTGATTTCGTTGTTCTGTGACGATGCAGAAAGGATCATTAGAGAACTGGACAAATTTTTGTAATTTTTAATCTAAAATGCTGTTATATGCAACTTAAGTCAACTTAGCTCTATTTGATATTTATACTGTGTTTGTTTCCTTAACTATTCACAGACATCAGCCTGATGTGGATTACCACAAATTGGATGCTTATGTTCACCAGCTAAAAGGAAGTAGCTCGAGGTAATACAGCAGTTCATTTGGTAAGGATTTTTGTGTGCATGATTGTTTAATTCTCAAAAGCTCGTACCTAATTGACACACATAAGTGTTGGTTGCAAATCTGTTGTGAGTTCCACCTCCCACTATGATCCAAACACCTACCTACAACTATTGATCCCGATCAACTTGGATTAGCAGTGAGTGGGAATTGATACACCAAAATTGAACAGGTTGCATTTCTATTCTCAGTTCAATCATCAGGATCGAAAAAGCTGACATGGATTCATTTGTATTTTCTTAAAACTTAAAAATGGAAGATATATTCTGTAATTATTATTTTATTTTTTTATTTTTTTTTGTTTTCATGAATCTCACAGCAACTATCAATTAAGCCATATAGTAAATATTTATTGTTAGGTTAATATAGTATGATGCTATTTTCTGAAGAAATCTTAATTACGGAACAATAGTTTGTCCTTAGGATGTAGTTACTTAATACTGCTACCATTTTCATTTGTGTTTGATGATTAAATTTTCTGCTGTTCAATAGAAAATCATTATTTCCATGGTTACGAATATCTGGCAGGGCAGTTCTTTGCATGGATTTATAAATCTGACCTTATTTCTTTTTGTTCTGCTTGGTATAACCAGCATTGGTGCTCAGCGCATGAAGCTAGCCTGTGTTGACCTTCGTCAGGCATCAGATGACAAAAACAAGGAAAGGTGTGTCATCCTCATTCACCGAGCTATTTGATTTAATCTGTAGTTACATTTGCAATATAGAAGTCCTTTTATTTATCATGCAACCTTAGAGCAGTACATAACTTGTTAGCTCCTAGCTGATATCTGTCAATGTTTCATGAGCACTTCTTTCCATTCACAATCAATTTTAGAATCTTTTCTTATCTTTTTTGGTTCTCGGGCTTTAATTAGGTTTCAAAACCAGTATTGAGTATTAATTGTTTTGGCAATTAAATTTTCACTGCATTCAAACTTCAACTACATGACCCATAACTGCTACAATTAAGTCAATTATGTAGCTCATTTTATGCATAAGTTTAGAAATTGCTTCAACTGAATAAACACCGATGTAAATTTACAATTCATGCATCTATTTTAATAGAACCATGATGTTAAAACTGTTAAAGCGCGCACAAACGTAATGCATTGGAGGATTACTTCTCTAAGTTACAGTAAATAGAACATAGTCAAGACCTGCATTGCGCAAGTTTGATCGGGCATAAGGTTATGTAGAATCTAAAAAGAGACATTGAGGTGGTGGTAACAGACATGAATACATCTTGTTCTTCTTCTGGGCAAAAGTCATGACGACTTATTGTACTTTAAGTGAAAAAATGGTCCCAGATAGAGCCGCAGCAAAGCATGGCATTGTTGTGTCATATCAACAATAACTATCTGCTGTTTTCTGATCAAAAGAATTCTGAAGCAGGTAGGACAGTGTTTTCTTGAGTTGAATTGAATTTTATTATTTTAATAAAGGTATATAATTTTATAAAAATGAAACAAAAATTTTAATTTTATTTGTTTGCGTTTACATCAGTGTTTACTTTACACTTCCTAAAATTTTACAGTCTCTGAGATATGGCATTCACAATATTCAGTTGAATAGTCGTCACATAGCTATATTCATATTCATGAAAATTCTGCAATTCCTCTCTTTCAAATATTATACACTGCAACAGCTAGAAATATCTTTCAAACGATCTTGGAATAAGTTTAGCCTCTGAGACTTCCGGCAGTCCAAACAACAGTGTTATTCTGTCTACCTTGTGGCACTTCTTTAATTATTTATTTTTTGAAGGAGACTGTTATTGAGACATCCTGAGCAGAGCTTAAGTGGTTTGGTTCATATTAAGCTTTAAAAATCTATTTTATATTTGCACAGAAAATTAATTTTAGGGCATGAAGCGTTGATCAAATTTGTGATGCATACTTCCACTGAAAACATATAGGTCTGCCAGTTTTGAGTAGCAGGCACAGGTTAATTGATTGAAGATCTTTAGAATCCACAACGATCTGATCAGTTACTTTCTATTGGTTTGTTCTCCATCCTCCAAAAGTTGATGACTTTATGTTTTGACATATACTTTTATCTTTTATTTTTATTTTTGTAAATATTGACATATACTTTTATTATTTCTATACATGTTCAATTATTTTTTAATAAAGGACAATATTGCGGATCCTTCAAATGGTGACTTCTACTCCACTACAAAAGCATTGTTGGCTATTCTATTGTCAGTCATCTGTACATTTATAAGAATCATGTACCGTATGCTCACTGTTTATTTGATGTGTGTGTATTGTTATGCATGAATCTATAATGGCATTATACTGACTGACCCTTCAGATTGCATGTTAAGCATGAAACTATACATACTCATATCCTTCTTATTTACCTTGCGTTTGAGGTCATAAGTCCTTTATTTTTTTTGTACTAGTTTACTGGATACTTCCTAATTATTTTATTCAGTTTGTGAATTTTGTGTAAGAGTCTCCTTCATATTTGAGCGACCTTAGTACATCTGCTGAATATTTTATGCCTATTTAGTATTTTCAAATCCGTAATTGTCCTTTTTCTTTCCCATTATGCATACTACTCATTGCTGAATTCATTTTCTTGTCCTTTTTTTCTTTTTCCCCCATTCCATTGGAACTTCATCTTCTTTTTTAATTTTTTCATGCAATCAAGTGGAAATAGTTCTCTTTGCTAATTAATATTATCCATTCAGATGCCTGCAAGCATTGAACAAAATCATGATGGAATATTTTCAATTAAGACGCGAATTTCTGACCCTTGTTCAGGTAATGCTTAATTTATGTCCATTCTTCATACAATAGATCTATGTACTCTCATATAACTTATAGCTACCATTGTTTCCAGCATAGCAGTATGGATTAGGTGCAATTATACTTGAGAAATGAACGAACATGATTTGGGAAAAAGGAAATAAAAGTTTACTTGAGTTTCATAAATGATAGAACTGTGATTTAGGTGTTCTTTCACAAGCTTATGTGAGCAATTTAGAACCTTCTGCTGCGGTTTCATTATTGTTATGATCTTTCTTCTCTATGTTGCGTAGAATAGGACCACCCAAGTAACATGGCTTTCCTGCTGTTTTGAATTTGGTAATCCTACTCTATGCCACATTTATGTGAATCAGAGAGAAGCTACCTATTAATACTGATTACTGGTAGGTTCTTAGAGTAACAACTAGTTTGAGCAAAAGATATTAAACTGGTGGTTTGATAGAAGATTTGGCTTTGAATTTAGGATGGAATGGCCAAGCAAGCGGTCTAGCCTTTGAATACGCTTCATAGAATGCTAAAAACACATAGAAACCTTCCCGCCAGTGCCTCAGGCAAGGCAAGACCAGCTCTGGTGAAGCCTAAACTCAACTTTGGGCTTGAAATCCGAGTCCAAATAAAGAACCAGTTGGTAATCACCTGTGTTTTTTTTTTACCAAATGAACCTACTTTGGGCTAGCCTCCTGATTTGCAGCTTCATGCATGCCATTCCAGAATTAATTTTAAGGCCAACAAAGACATTTGATCTTTCTTTCGTCTATTTCATTGTTTGAGACTATATGTTGTAAATTGCTGGTAAAAACTTATAAGCATGTTGCAGCAAGTTGCGTTTTAAGTTGAGATCCATTACGTTATTGGTTGTACTAGTTCAATAATTAGTTCAGATACTGTATCCTACATGCAGATTGCTTTAATCCTTTCATCTACTATGTTCTTCCTTTGCATTCTGCTTGCTGTTATTAACAAGCTTTTTGGTATCATATTCCTTGTAAATGTTATAATTTGATGTATATTCTGGCCCTTTGATGCTACAGTTGGAGAAGAGTGTCTTTGCCTATGAGACCAACCAACAATTGCAGGAGAGTGGGTATGCTGGTGTTTCAACATAATGTTTCATGACTGATGGATTTTGTCTGTATAGTGAATGAATGTATAGTTACTGGATCGTAACGAGTTGGCTATCAGTTTAATTGCTTGGTGGTATATAAGTAGTTTAATGGCATGCTTTAGATTATTAGCTTATTGCAGCCAACTCTGACTGGCCAAATAATTAGATCCTTCCCTTTTCTGTATTATTTTTTAACCTCAAAACTGTTGTACATAAATAAATGAATTATCAATATTCGATGAAATACGAGGTTCAAAAGTAACATCAGTTTCATTATAGTATAGGCCTTCTAGTTGATGAATAATCAACAATGCCTTCAACTTCTAATTTCACCTGCTAATGTATTTTATAATATTTGCTAATAAACTTTTGAAGTTAACGTCACTGGCCACCATAGACGTTATGAGAATGCTCCATAATCCACCTGTGAGGAGCTGTCACTACAATACTAAATACATTGAATGTATAGAAATATAAAGAATTTCTTGGTCACCTTAATTGTAGAATTAGAGTACGTGTTTGTCTGTCACATAATATCCAGTGGAACCAACAGCAGATGACATGGAATCATGTGAAGAAACCACAAACAAACTAAGATGAGGCTTTTATAGTTTAAGAAGGCTAAGTAACATGCAGAATGGATAGGGTATTTACAGTATTAAAAGCATCTAAGAAGGAAGCATGGGAATTTGAAGACAGTGATTACAGATCTAAACCCCGGCAGCAGGCGAAGGCGAAGGCGAAGGAGAAGGAGGATGAGCCGAAGGAGAAGCAAGACCAGCCATCCGCCTGTAGGATGATGGTGTGGGTGGAGCTCCTGGAGAGAGGTTAACAAATTCCAGTGCTTGAACCCTCAGTTCTATGGGGTAGTCGGCAATGCAACCAATTCTTGGGCCAGCCCCAGTTGACCATTTTAGCGAGACCTGACGCCCTAACTCGTATGACTTTGCCACCTTCTTGGAGTTGATTCTTTTCAGTATTGATGTCTTGGGCACATCGGTTCTTGGGCTTTGAAGACCTCCGGATATGGTCCTCCTGTAACTGTTTTTGGCTTCAGTTTGGGGAACTTCAGTTGGGTCTGAGGATGGTTCTGTTTCCTCTTCCTTACAAGTATCAGGTTGGGAAGATTCTGAAGTTGTTGAAAGTTCAGATGTAATCTTGTTCAATTGGCTTTCTTCATTGTACTCATAATCCTCATTTTTCTTGCGTATCTACGAACAAGAGATAGAAAGCACACCATTAGAAAAACATAGGTACTGGAGTGATATTCAGAAGCTCCAGAAGCTAAATAACCCAATTGCTAACAGGAACCAACTTGCTTCTTACTAAAACCTTTTTGTTTTTTCGGATTTAGAACGAGTTATAGTTGCACTAGTTGGATTTCCTGGATTCCTAACAACCATTAAAGCTTCTTACAAGCACAGTTTCTTGGAAACAATTTGACACTCATATAAAGATTTATAAGTTAAACAACATAGAAAAACAGGAAAAGGAAATACATACTTCAACTTCGTCGATGTTGGCTCCATTTTCCTTGAGAAATGATAAAATTTCGCCAAGGCTTTCATCAGGTGGGCAGTAATGTCCACTGTATGCCGAGATGGACTAAAAACATAAAATAAGGCCAATCAAAGATCAAATGCCAGACAAAAGAATGTTTATCATGACTTTATTCTGGCCTTGGAACTAATGGGATGCATGTGTGTCTATTCATATATTTTGACGAGTAAAAGTAGTATCTAATATCAACCACTCCAGAGCAAGTAATGTCATGTGAAAATGGAGCATCTCATTAGGTTTAACTTTTACATAGTAGTTAAAGAAGTCCATGTGGTTTTATTCAAACTTCTTTCAACATAAGTTTTTATAGAGGGACCTAAATACCTAATTTCCATGCAATACACAAACGGACTCATTCTCAACTGCTGTGTAAAATACAAGAGGTGAATTCATATCTGTGGACATCAAGATATTTTTCCATACAAATAGATCTTTCTTTCCGAGGGTTGTATAAAAACTTCTCAATCCTCCAATAACTAGTAAAAAACCAAAACAATTGGAAACCAAGGATGCTGGTTGCAAGAATGTGTATATGCATATAAATGCATGTGCCCTGTACATGTTAAATTGATAACTGCTGTTTAATGATGTTTAAGTGGGCAAGCATATGCAAATTTAATAAGCGTTAGGGCTGCACTGATTACAACGTAGAAAAGACGTACATTATATGGTGACTGAAAGATGTCAACAAATTTTGGTTTAATTCACAATATAAAGTGATAAAACAGCAATTACTCCACAAACACGAACGAAGTCATTACATGAAACTTACATAAGTTAAAAGATTCAGATAGGAAAATTTATACAAACAGTCCAGAGGCGAAAATGGGCGCTTTGGTTTTAGGATTGATACAAGTGGTATTTATAAATAATAAGACAAATTGACAGTCCTTTGTTTTGAAGTGCTAAGACCGAAATATTTTGGACCATTATGTATGGAAATTTCTGTCTACATTTGAAAATGACTTCAATCTTAAGCATGACAATAGAAGGATCCATGAAAAATCTGGTGTTGATATAGTCCTTCATTCATAATCATAAAACCTATTGACAAACTCAAAATTTAATAATCACGACCATGCAAACATTTTGAGACACAAAAATTAGTTAGGAAAGCCTCATGAACTTCACTCTTAAGCATGACAATAAAATGAACCATGGAAAATTTGTTGTTGACATGGTCCTTCATTCAGAATCATAGAACCTACTGACAAACTCAGTATTTTAGAATCACAACAATGCAAAAATTTGGAGACACAAAAATTAATTAGGAAAGCCTCGTGAACTTTTAAAACAACATACGAAAAATAAATTTCAATGTGCAAAAGCAATCATGGATTTCATTGCAGGGAAGAAAAATAACAATACATCTTCATCGTGTAATTATCCAGGGTCACATGAAATTAGCAAAAACTATTCACGGTTCCAAATCTAAACAAAAATATCAAGGCATGAAAATTTTAATCAAAATTGTGGCTGTAAGAAAGGAATTCTAGAATGTGCTGAGGAATTTTTTTTTAATGGCGATAAGCCACACATAAATTTAAACATGCTTGCATCACGGGCCTCCAAAATGTAGCCCAGGAATGGTTTACCCTTTCTAGCACCACAAGCCCTAATAATATAAATATTTTCCCCTAATACAAGTTCAGGCAATTATGACTTCTCTCTTAATCATCTATCCACTTTTAAGGTTCATGATAAATGAATGGATTTGATTTCACACAAACGTTGGTTCTTGAAGTTGGATTCCAAAGTTCAAGGTAATACTAGATTAGAGGTGCAAGAGAAATTTTATATTACGATCATGGCACAACTTGAACCCTAACCGGCATGGATTTCAAATAATAAGTTGTTATTTGAAACGCACACATAATTCTCTCAAATCCCTTTATTTGAAATCATCTCAAATCCATCAACTTGTATTTCTTACACAATTGAACCTAAAACCATTCATTTAAAATCCTTCAATCCAAAGGAACCATATACTTCTCTCTTTCTATTTCTATTTTTCCTCGTACAAATTTACAATAAAGTTAATATCATAAATTTTATATTTCCCTCTTTCTAATTTAATGCAACTCCTTTTCCCGCATAAAATTGGCTGTGTAAGGATAAAACATTAAGCACAAAACAACATTATGGTACAGCTTTGATGTTAAAAATAAAAATATTAGATAATGAAATCCCATCTTAAACACACCTTAAGTGCTCCACCCTCTACCACTAGCCTTCCAGCAGCTAAAGTAGCCCCTCCAGCTAGGAAGCTGGAATGATGAAAATTTCCTTTCTTTTTCTGAAGATAATAAAGCGTGTTAGTTTTCAAGCAAGGTAGAAGCATTCAAATTAGAAGAAAATCATCAAAAAAAAAAAAATTTTTTCATGTTTGTTTTAAGTCTCACCTCACCAGCATATAGTTTCTTAGAGGTGCTCATCACAAATATCCATTTCGACCCTGGTGATGCTTTCTTTGTATCTAGAAAGCTTCCACTTCCCTTCAATAATAGAGTTTGTTTGTGCACTATTTTCCCTTCAACAATAATATATTCATAATGCTCTCTCTCTTGCTGTTTTATCAAAATTCGACACAAAAAACAAGAGCACTGTGTTAGGATCACATAAATCAGAATGGACAGTTTAATTTAATATGAACTAGAATGCATTGCAATCAGTTGTACAACTTCAATTTGATACTTCTTTCATTAAATCACATACAGGTCCGAGGTATCTGATGCATTGTTGCTGAAGCTTTGACCTTGGGCATTGTTTAAGGTCAACCTCTTTGCCGTATCCAATATCCAACCTGCAAGAAAAAATGCAAAGCTTTGATCTGCATCCGACTTATAATATGACACAATCCATAATATGACATAGAAATTTGCCATTCTGATCAACATAGAGCATTTGGGACATCCAAAATTTTCTTTTATTTTATTCTTTCTCTGAGCTAATAATAGGCCAGTAGATCATTATGCTTGAGCAGCTTTTTGAACTTTTACCTTTGCAGCAATTATTTCAAATATTAAGTTTGTTTGAGAAAGTGCTGACCGGTAGAAGCAAACTTATCTTACCAGTAGAAGAATGGCTGACCAGCATCAGCTTTACACCACTCATCATAATACATTTTCAAGTTATGCCCATAGCGATGTCTTGCATCAATCTACAGTTCATACACAGCAAAACAAAACTTACAAAAGCGTCTACAAGAAAAGGGATATGTAAAAGAGGAAGCACAAGGGCAAGGAACAAGTCATTACAGCTTCAATCCAGTGTTCGAAAGCCAATTTCTGTGCCTTGGCATCTTGGGATAAACCCTTACCCACCTGCTCAAGACTCCAATTAACGTTACAAAGTCACTCAATATATATATATATATATATATATATATATCTTTTCCTGAATAAACAAAAATATAAAAGAGTACGGCCAACAATAAAATCATTAAAGGTACTAAATAAGTACTTACTGGTTTGTTTACGTATATATTTCCTTCTTCAATTTAATTATTTTATTATTTATTCCCCGAGCACAAACAAAATCAAAGAGAAAACTGAGAAGAACCAAACCTTAGAAGCATTCAAGCGGATCCGATTCCAACGCGATGAGGTCGTTTCTCGGAAATTGAAGAAGGAAATTGTACTATGATTCAATCGAACATAGTCTATAGCTTGCCACCTTCAAAATCATATATATATAAAATATAAATGTATATATTTAATTTAATTACATGTATATAAAATATATAAATATAAAGGAAGTAAGGAACGTACCAGAACTCTTCTGCTACCACAGCGGAATCTGCTAACATGCGCCGGGTGCGGAAACTGCGATAAACCTTCTGCACTTTCATCGCGGCATTCGATTGAGAACTGGCCGGTTTACCGGCGGGACTCAGAGCCCCAGCCGGCTCGGAGCTCTTGCATTCCCGGCGATCAGCCGCCGGCGATTCGGCTTCGGGAGCTGGAACCGGAACCGGAACCGGAACCGGAACCGCTTCGGAGCAGTGACATTTCCGACCAAAGTTCGACGAAGAATCAACATCGGAGTCCAAATTCGCCGGTGATGCGAAGCCGTTACTTTTCACAGCGCGATTCTCCATCGGTTCCAGCATTTCGGAGCCCTGGAACTCCGAGGAGTCCGTACCGACGTTCACTGAGTATGAAAATGATGGTCTCGAAAGAGTTGGAGTTTCGACCTCCATTGATTAAACACAGTCAACAAACCCTAGGAATTACTGGAAGCTAGCGAATGCTATAGAGAGAGATTGATTAGTCGTCGGGCAGAGTTTTGTTGTTTCTGTATAGACTTTTAGTTAGTCGTCGGATGAGTATGTGCCTATGATATGTGTGACTGGTGTGTCCCGGTGAACGTACATGTCAATTTATTTATGAATTTATTATGTTTAAAGGTGGCAGGTGTACTCGCTCGAGTAGAGACGACATGTGTGTACTCGCTTGTACGGACATCAACACGCTTGTTTTTATCCACAGAAGGTAACACGTCAAAAAGTGAAATTTTAATTTAATTTTACATTCTTAAGAACAAATTTAGTAAAAAAAATCAATTGACATGAAATTTTCTAATATTGAGAATAAAAGCAAAAACTCGATAGCTCAATGGTTAGTGTTTTTGATGAATTTTGAGAATGTCCGGATTCGACTCTTTACACCTATTAATTTAATTTCTAGCATTTCTTGTCTTGTAAAAAAAAAAAAAAAAAATGTTGACAATAAAAGTCAAGTACGTCCGTGATTTAAATTTATATTTATAGGATTTGAAATGGATATTTAATTCGACATGAATTAAATATTTAATTCTATATTGTCTTAAATTCATAAATTAAATATGAATTATAATCAATCTCATTTACTAATAATTCAATCCAACTAAATATTATTCAGGGGCAAATTTTTTTTACCATACCGAGTATATAATATGCTATACATATATTATCTAATCATTCAATTGGTACGGAGTTTGATGAAATTTAATAATAAAAAAATGTGAATCATGTATAGTGTTAAAAGTCTTAATTATTACAACGTTCCTCCTTATTTTAATTATTTTATTCCTCCTATTTATTTTTTTATTTAATTAACAATGAAGAATTTAATTTTTCTTCTCTTTATTTTCATACATTTTTTTTTTTTTGGTCATTCTCTCTCTCACTTTTTTTCTAATTTATTTTTTATTAATTAACAAAAAGTACACATCTTAACGAATCAAGTTTTGGAATTGAACCATTCAAAGGCAGATATATATTAATGAATTTAATAATAGATAACATGTGAAATTATTATTAAATCAGGTGGAATCACAAATATTTTTTTGTTACGTTCCCTTATATGGCGTTGAAGTTTTGAAATTTTCATCAATTTTAATTTTAAGAGGTTAAACACATAGCTTTATCAAATTCAAATTAAATTATATCAAAATCAATTTAAATCTGACTCGTTAACGAGTCCATTAAAAAAGTGTACTGGAGAATTTTCTATGTTCCACTTTCCTGGCTGGCTGTCCTCACAAAACTTACGCGCTTTTGTTATTATTAGCATAAGAGAGACGAACTATCATCAACTTGGCAGAATCCGAAGATGGTTTGGTTTGATTTTGGTTTTGTTTTTGTTTTTGGAAAACAAAACCAAGACACGGAGGGCTTCATATTCCAAAGTCAAGTCGTCGTCGTTTTCATGTATCACCAACTGCCAGGGTGTAGCACTTCCTGGTTGGTCATAGCACGTGGGACTGACTTTGACTGGCGCCACTAACCGTAAAGATGGTGAAAGCGTCTCTTTGACTTTGAGAACGGTACATACTTTTAACTTAAAAGGCTTTAAGTAAGATATTACTACGATAATCATCCATATACATTACATACATCTACCAAGTGATATAGTTAGAAATCGGATATAAGTTCTAATTTTTAATGTGCCGACTTAAGTTATATTTCTTTTAATTTTAAATTTAAAGTATGATACAAAATACAAAAAATGATAAATTTTTTGGATTCAAAAAATGTCAAGAAAATATTGTACACATGACATCATCGTAATGAAACCCATATTTCCACCCACATATTTCCTATTCATTGTTTCTCATTAATTTGTTCAGCAATAATGCAAAGGGTATTATCAAAATCTTACTTTAATCTAATGACCGTGATGCTTCTTTTGTTTTTTTTTTAGTTAAAGGACCGTGATGCTTCTTGAACAGTCATTTTTAATCGTTTTGGGTGCTGTCCACGTCATCTTTCTGTTTTTTTGTCCTACTCTTTCTGAGTCTTTCATAATGTTTTTTAAATACTAGTATGTCTTATAAATTTAAAGACGGGCCAATTTCACGTAATTAAGAATTTAAGAGTTCATTTGACCTCCAAAAACTGAAGATAAATTATGCACATAAAAATAAATAAATAAATTTAATTAATTATGCAATTAAGAAAATAAATTCTACAAAGGAGTAGTACTGTTGTAATAGTGTCTTTGCCAATTTTTTATATTTACCAGGCTTGTACCGGCTCCTGCCATAAATTTGCAGTTTAGTTTTTTGCTACACTTCTTTGCCGATTAACCAATTTCTATACCTGGCTTCCTCATGAATTTATAATCTTTTGGCTCAACTTTATCCCAATTTTGCCCCGTTTTTCACCTTAAATTTGGTCAAAATATGCAGAATGGAGGTAAATTTCAGATAATAAGGGTTTTCCAGTTTGCATAGAGAGAAGCATATAAAGCTTATTTTATTTTTTTCATGGCAAGAAATACACACCTTTTGCACATAAGGGGACTTAACCCGTTACCCTTCTACTTCTCACATATGAGAACTTAAACGGTCAACCTTCCAACTTTAGAAGGTGGGAATGTACTTTTCAGATTTTTTCTTCATTTTCCAATTGGAATATAATCATTTTTGGTTCTTACCTGAGATTGCATATAGAGGAAGGGTCATTCTTATTTCTTTTTTCCTATTTGCTTCCCCTTAGTAATTCTTCCAAAACTGATCTAGGCCAACTTATGGGATGCTAACTCACAGAGAATTGGGCTTAAATGAATATTTGCAATCTGCTTTGACAGTACTATTATACTAAACTATATCAATTCAGAAACGGAAATTCCTTTTCAAAGTCCTGACTAAATAGTATCAATTCAACTAATGCAAAACACAAAATGATGTTATTCAAAAGCAACATATTACCGGGTATTACAAGTGGGATAGAGCACTTAGCTTCCCAAAGAGGTGTGCCCGTGTTTGCACCCTAGTTTGACAGGATAGATAAATAAAAAAACGGAAGAAGGTGACATTGTGTATAGAATCCAGTTCTCTATAGAAAAGTGACATAATACCTAAGCAATTTATTCCTTTAAACCATGGACGGCACAAGGAAATATATTAGATCAACCGCCGGAAGGAATAGTTTAAGTTTAAAGAAGTTTCATTCAGAAAACATGTATCAGTCACAGATTCATAGATTGCCATTGGTAAACTAGATAATAGGATTTTCAAAAAATTACGGGCTTATTATTATTATTATTAGTGTGTGGGGAGCCTAGGTTCTACTCACCCATTCTCCCCCTTCCCCTCCTTGCCAGGTAAAAAATAAAAACAAAATACCAGTCTACTTATTCTCAATTAAGTCATGAACTTGGGTTTTCTAACAAGTGGACAAGTGGAATAAACCTGTGATAGTTCACAGACAAGAATGTTATGATCTTCAATCAATCTGTTCCAGAAAAAACTTAAAAACTCCTATAAGAATTTTAAACTGTAAATTAGCACAAAAACTTTCGTATTACACCTACACAACTATGATTTTGAACGGACACAAACAGAAACCCACTTGCCTCGCTATTCGAGGGAAATTAATTAAACCAGATTATTTTACCACCTCATAGCCTAAACAACTTAAATTCAATAAAATTTATAGATCTGAGGAATTACCCAAAAAAACAAGGCAAAAGATCCAGAAAGAACAAAGGGTGAGTTATTGTTACCACCTTTTTGGTCCTAGATACAAATGAAGGTGGTCCTCAATGTGATAAAACAATGTGATTTGGGTGTTCACAGTCGATGTGAATTTGTCTAATTCCATTAGTGACCAAAAGAGTAGTATAAATCAGAAATAACAGTCCATTCAAGACATTCGTTTTATGAAATTAATCGCACACAAGTCTACGCACTTTACAGCTCACTAACCATGCAACAAGTAACAGTCCACATGCATTTATTTCATACAGATGGCTGTACCATAGAGCTAAATTAAAATTCTAAAATACCAACATCATCCATTTCCAACCAATATTTTGTCGAGGAGATCAAATTACACTCATTTTCAAAAAGAGAACAATTACTGAGGTCAATATATAAAAATCAAATCCATTGTTGTCACTAAACTGGCCACAGGGTTTTCAATTTGACACAACTTTCTTCTAAAATATATAATAAACCAAAATTACAATGACTGCAGAACCGAAAACTGAAAACAACAACTAAAAGCTACAAACTGAAAAGGAAAGGTTGCGTACGGGGATAAGGTGTTCAAACCCTTAGTCGAAAAGACTGAAGCCCATATCCTGCAAAAGTTGGAAGATAAAAAAATCAATTACAAAAACTAGAAGTTGAAACATTGTGCAAATGGCATGCGTGTATGCAAGTTGTGCTAGTATTAACATGAATTAACAACATAGCAGTGCAAGCATGCCTATCCACTCATATCCAAGAGAAGGCTGATTCAAATGGAAAGCAAGTACATAAATGTTTCATTAATTTTTAAAGCTCAGGAAAAAGTAGAGGGTTATGTAAATTTTAACACACCGGATATCCCTCTCTTTTTCACTTTTCTTTTGGGGGCGGGGGGCTTGGGAACTTCAGGCAACCATGTCCATGACAAGATGAATGGAGATAAAAATATCACTGGACATAAATTTTGACTAGAATACCAGTTGGAACGTGATTAACTGCAGTAAAACTTACATCATCTGACTCCTCTTTCTCTTCCACCTTTTCCTCTTTCTTGGGCTCAGCTGCAGCTGGAGCAGCAGCAGCACCGCCACCTCCGGCACCTGCAGAAACTGCAATTGCACCACCACCGCCAGATGGAACAGAAGCCAACTTCTCCCGCCCAGCCGCAATAAGCTCTGTTATGTCCTTTCCCTTGACTTCCGATAAAAGAAGATGAATCATACCATCATCAGCTTCAGCTCCAACTACATGAAAGAGAGACATTTCACCAAATTAGAATTCTTCCCTATACAACTTCTATAGAAAACAATTGGAGATATCAATGATACATGTCATAAAAAGCCTATTTAAAGAATATCCATCTACTAGTTATTCTTGAACAAACAAATGCAAACATTTCCAATTAAAAAAAGTAACTAGATTCAATTATACCTCAATCAGATTCTAAAAAAATTCTCCTGAACTTAAGTTTGTGAACACTGAACAAAGAATGATTGTAAAACTTTCATTTGATTATTACACAAGTGAAGCTCAGACAAACCAAAATAGAAGAGAAAAACATGGATGCAATTGATGTTTGGGTGTCTAGAAAGAAACAGTGCTTAATATGATGCTTTTGACATATAAACTATATATTAAGCACTTAAGAACACCCACTCAAATTATTTAAAGGCTGAACCCTCTATAATAAGATAAACACTAAACAATTTACACCACTCTTACAGCTTCCCACACACAATTACACAAGTAGTGGTCCTCACAGACTAGGACTTGATGTCATCACAGGCTAGGAAACGATGTTTGGGTGTCTAGGACTTGATGTCAAAATTCTAATCATATAAGAAAGATGCGAATTAGGGATGATTAGTCGATGAAATATGAACCGGGGATTGAACCTTGATATACCTCAGAACAATACATTTTTGTTACCGCAAGGCATATCGGCAGCCGCGGATCATTTGATTGGAGTGAAATTTGGAACACTTGACGATATGAATCATTTGAAAATTAAACGCAGTCGTACTGTAGCAGATCTTTTACAAGACCAATTCGGATTGGCTCTGGTTCGTTTAGAACATGTGGTTCGAGGATATGTGGCGCAGTTAGGTATAAATTGATACCAACTCCTCAAAATTTGGTAACTTCCAACTCCATTAACAACTACTCATGAATCTTTTTTCGGCTTACACCCATTATCTCAAGTTTTGGATCAAACTAATCCATTGACACAAATAGATCATGGGAGAAATTGAGTTATTTGGGCCATGGGGGATTGACAGGGCGAACCACGAGTTTTCGGATACGAGATAACCATCCTAGTCACTGTGGGGGTATATGATGCTTTTAACATATAAACTATATATTGAGTACTTCAGAACAACCACTCAAATTATTTAAAGGCTCGACCCTCTATAATAAGATAAACACTAAGCAATTTACACCTGTTACAGCTTCCCACACACAAGTAGTGGTCATCACAGTCTATAACTTTTTTCACAAATAAACCATTTTAATAATTATAATTAGAGACTGCAAGATGTAATTAATCAATTTAATGGGCGAGAAAACATCCCCATTCAAATTATTCAATATAATTTAGAAGTTGAGGTTACTATAAAGCTATCCCAATTGAGATTTGTGTTCTGATATTCACACAAATGGCAAATAAATTTTGATTTGCATTATGAAACTGACATAAAAACTAACACATACTATAATCAAATCACTTGGAACAATTGAATTAATATAACGATGAGTCAAGAAGTTGCTGCTTATGATAAATAAGTTCAAGAACACATAAACAGACTATAATTACCAAAAATCTAACACTAAGTTCAGCACTAATACATATATATATATAACAACTCTTTCGGGAACCAGATATGAAGTGATATTAATTGCAAATTTGACATAAGGAATTGCATTAAGAAAAAGACGAATCAATAAGTTGCTGCTTATGATTGTACTTTCAAGAACACATAAACCGACAATACATACGTAGATCCAACTCTAAGTTTAACAATAATACATATATATAACAACTCATACGTGAACCTGATATGAAGTGATAGTAATTGCAAAATTGACATAACGAATACAAAAGGGGAAAACACTAAACCACCAAAAAAAAAAGTGATACTAGTTGAAATAACCACAACACTGTGAATAAATTGACTAACTAATCTGAGAAGGAATTAAAAAAAAAAAAAAAAAAATTGAAAAAAAGAAAGAAAAAGCTAGTACAGAAAGACACAAATATAACGAATCAGCCCTCAAAATATATATATGAACGTATACCAGAGCCAAGAATGCCCTTCAGATCATCGGCGGAAGGACAGGAGTTACCACCCAACACGGCGAGCAAATAGGCGGCGACAACCTTCATCTCTGCCCAAATAAATTTACAATTAGTCTAAAATAAATCTGGATAATACATGCATATTGTGTATAGTTGCGTATGCGTACGTGTATATATAAAAATATAGAGAGAGACAGTACTCGAGAAGCTCTGGATCTGCAGGAGGAGGAGATGAATACGAAGTTCAACTCGAGAGGAGGTGCTATGTGCGCATCACAGTATGGTCTCCATTATATATTGCTAGGGTTTTAGGCTTCGGATTGGGCCGCCGTTCTCGCTTGGCGAGCAAAACGAATCGGACTCGGTCCGGATCAATAAACCAAATTTAATCGAATTAGTATCATTATGGTTAAATTACACTTACCTCCCTCTAGTTAGTTATATTACGCTTACTTCCCTCTAGTTAGTTTTATTACGCTTACCTCCCTATGTTTTTGGATAATTACAATTATCTCCTTTCTTCTTCTTTTTTTTGATAAGTAATTATCTTCCTTTCTTTTCAAAGATTAATTGGTAAAATGCACAACTCTCCAAGGGAGTGAATTTATGTTCGAATTTCTTGTCCTAAGTACCAAGGATATTGTAGTCAATGGTATCTCATTCGATGACAAGGATTCAAATTCATATAGGGTCAAAATGAGTATGTGAGTTTCTCATAAAGGAGAAAAAAAAAGTAGATCTATAAGTCAATTGAGAGTCCACGCATCATATAATTTTGTGAAAGATGATTGATAAGTTCTATTCGATAAAAGTGAAAAATAACTAATAAATATTTAAAAAGTTGAATTTTAAATGATAATAGTAAATTAAGCATTTTATTATTATTTTTTCTTTCTAAATTTAAGTATTCAATACTCATTGATGTACTATCCAGGGATCGGCAATAAGGCGGTTTGGGACATGGGACGCCAATTCCATCAGCACCCCAATTTAGTATAGCTCCCCATCCCTATTCGAAATCATTTATTAAATGAGTGGGCAGGACGGGTTAAGAAAAAACTTTTGTAATAATGAAACAAATTTTCAACCATAGTAATAATTCCTTTTTTTTTGTGTGTGTATAAAAACGATATTCAAATTCTCAATAAGAACTTGAGATTTAATATTATTGTGGTAAAATTAAAACAATACATAAAGATTCTCACTCAAATAAAAATAATACAAAATGATATATAATTTATAAAGCACGAACACTTATACGAAGGACTCGTATTCGTGTCGTGTCCATGTCGGATATTCCTCGGACACGTGTCCGACACTTCATATACGTGTCCATAAATAAAAATAATTTTTTATTATTTTGGACATGTAATGACCCGGTCATTTTTCTTCCTGTCATTTTTCTCAAAATTTATGGATAAATTTTTTCTATTGATTTTTCTTTTCCGAGTTCGAGTTTTTGTCACTTTGTGTCGTCTCGAGTACTCGGAAATAGTTTTCAAGACTTTTTCCTTTGAATTGACAACGTCCTTGTGAGGTCCGTGTCATTTCCACATTTTCTTTTTTCGATACTTTTATTTTTTTTCGTCTTTTTCCTGGATTCAGTTTTCTTTGCGTAACTTCACTTTTTGAGTTCGAATTTTTTTCCTGGCTTTGCATACATCCATGATATTTTAATTTTATGCTTTGTGTATTTTCACTTTTCTAGAAAAACATGTTTAAATATTTACTTTTACGTAAAGGGTATGGATGCATAGTTTTTTTGGAAACATTATTTATTTTTGGGGTTTTTTCGTAATTATGAAAAATAATTATTTTTCTTCTTAGGGACCTTTTTACAATATTTTGGTAGATATTTTCAAAAAGGACCTTCTGTAATTACCGAAAAGTGTGACAAGTGTCACATTCTCATTGGACCCCTTGTAAGCATCTTATTGGTTAGCACTTGGAAGTCTTGGATGATGACATGTGGAGGGTAGAGATTCACCCACTCGTTGGCCTAGAATTGATGCACTTGTTGACTTGGATTGTTGATAAGTGTAGGCTTTATATTAAGCCTAGAATTGAACTATTGAATTAATAACAAATGTATACTCCTAATTAAAGTCTAACTTTTGTGTGTGTGTAGGCATGGTGCAAGATTAGGTGTATTGACTTGCTTTGACCAAGTGAGTGGAGGATTACACTAAAGGGAGTTAATATTTCATTTTACATCATTTTAATATCATCATCTTCCTCACATAAAACCTTAGCCACCATTGAAGGAAATCATTAATTCAGGCTTAAAACCTTGGTTTTGATCTCCTTCCACTCACCTTAGACTCAAAAGCTTGGAATACAAAACACTTGCCTTACCTTCCTCTTTATAACCCTTGAAGGAAATTGTAAAATTCATTTGTTTGCTTTGGATTCAATAGGGACAATCCTCTTGTGAGGTAAGGGGTGATTTAGGATAATAATCTATGTATTTTAATTGTTTTTATAGCTTACTATGAATTGTATACATGTCTTATACTTAATTTTTTAATTAGTGGGTTGTTGTACTTTGCATTAAATTAAGTTAGGACATGATATTTTTGAAAGTCATGACTTGATCTATAACTTGTATTAGTATAAAGTTATTTAGTGTTGTTTTAGAATCTAGAGATTTAATTATTTAAAATTAATTAATTTCTATTTAATTGTTTCACTTACTTAGTTAAGTTTTTGAGTTGATATATGTGAGTACCATAATAGTATCATTGACATATAATTATTTGGAGACATTTGAAGTTGATTTAAATTCTAGCAAAATTAATTAGTTAGTTTAATTAATTTCTATTCCAATGTTACATACATTTAAATCAACATTTGACTTGATATGTGTAATGAGTATGGTATGATCTTTAACATATATTAAATTGAGAATATTTAATTGAGTTTTGAAACTTTTAGTTAATTATTTTTTTTGAATGAAATTTAATTTACATAATTGTATCTAGTGTTAAATCAACTTGATATTAAATTAGGCCATGGTATGTTCATTAACATATATTAATTTGAGAATATTTGAATGAGTTTTGAAATCTAAAGATTTTAATTAAATGAATTACTTAAAATCTATTTAATGGTTCAATTGATTTAAGTAAGTTTTTTAACTTGATATAATGAGCTTGAGTTTTTCTTTAACGTATATTGAATAAGAATCATTTGAAGTTGATTTGAAATCTAGAGAAATTAATTATTTTATTTAATTAATTTTCATTTTTGTCGCATTAATGATTTAAGTATGTATTTGATGTTGATTACATGTTTAGATCATGATTTTGCACTTATTTTGAGATACCCCTCGGATCCGAGACACGGGTTGATCAGGCCCAGGCCCAAACCCGAGGGAATATCAAATAATTAATATTTTATAATGAACACGGAATACAAAATAAATTAAGAAATGAAATTAAAGCTGGAAGGAACTAAAAATAGAATCCGTAAAATATTATAATTATTAAAATCCATCAAACCCAAACTCCAAAACTCCATCAGTTTACAACTTGGGAATCCATCTCTAGTGGACCCCTATTAAACATCCAAACGGAAGATAGAACAACTGTAATAAACGTCCAGAAATAAAACTATAGAGAGAGCCCTACATCGTCGGAAGAGTGAATAGAGACCTCTGCTCAGCACGAACACGTCTGAGCCTGGAACTGTCGTGCACCTGAAAAATTGAAGTGGGTCAGGCCCACGCACAAGTTCTATACTACTACAATCCAAATAGAGGCCCGATACGCATGTACATCCTAAACAATTCAACAATAACTAATAGTCCCTAAATATATATATAGTCACACTAAAGGACTCTCACTGGACTACAGGCCGGTCTCAACCTGAATAGAGGTAACATGCTAAAACGCACACGAAGTGGGCATATGTACCTATACCTAAACAGGGTACACCTCTAACCATCGTAGCCAGTTACACATCCCGATGCATATACGCTCCCTAGCCATCGGTCCTGAGGCTCAAGCTCATACCGAGGCACCATAACAGTACATATATAAAATCCATCCAAAATCCCTGGTATTACCGCTCAACAAGTAATTGCCATGACAATACAAATCCACGGGACTTAACTTTTAGTTAATCCCATCCTTATTCCAAGTAGGTGGGTAATGGTATTGTTTTAAAAACCAAACCCATCCTTAGTATGCCACCATCCCATACCGGTGCCTACTTTCCAATCCTCCAGTAGTCAATAATACCAATAAATCAAGTATATATCAACTAAATTCCAACATCCAACATTCAATATTAGCAGTGATAAAATAAGCATTGATAAACAGGGTCACAACAACAACATATACATGCCCAATTTAAGTTGTTCCCTTTAGTCTGATATAAAGACAGAATTAATTAAAACTTCCATTTAACACCTTACAAATGACATACAGATATGTAGGGTATGTATCACAAAATCCTAACCTCCACAGTTGATACTAACTGTGATAATGTAAGCATCAAAACAATATTCACAGTATGTATGTAGACATGCTCAAATTATAGTGTTCCACAAAACCGATCTAGTGTTAAACTCAAATTCTCCTAATATTTAAGTTCCAACAGTTACTATTACAGAAGTTAAGATAGCTATCATCTAGACCCATCCTTCCAATAATTTATACTAGCAGTGGTAAGGAAAAACGTGAACCACAGAACCACAATGCATCCACAAACATGCTTAGTCTAGGTTGAACAAGCATACAACACTACTGTAACTACCAGTTTCATAGCAAAACAGATATCATTTTAGTTTGGTTTAATCTTCATTAATCCTGAAATCATTTAAGAGTGCAAAGAGTATGAAGCCTAAGGGAAAGAGTAAGGAGAGAATCTTGCCTCAGAAACTTTTGTTCAAAGTTTCAACGTCGTCTTCTTAAAAAATCCCGGCGAGTTCCAAAACCCGGTTACTGTTCACGGGTACGAAACACTATTCCCGAACTCAAAATCTGATCTCCACCGTTCAGATTGTGCGACACTGAGTCATGAACCTATCCTCCAAATTTCAGCTCGATCGGACCACGGACAAAGCGGGATCGGATGTTTGATGAAATCTGGGCAGAATGGAAAAAAAACCTGTGCGACCCAGTTTCTGTTCACGAGTACGAATCACTGTTCCCGAGGTCAAACTCTGATCTTCACCGTTCAGATTGTGCGTCACTGAGTCGTGAACCTCTCCTCCAAAATTCAGCTCGATCGAACCACAGACGAAGCGGGATCGGTGCTTTGATCAAACCTTGGCAGAATGTGAAAAACTGCATTTTTCCTTCTCCACTTCCACAAAACGTGTGTTTTGTTTTAAAAAAACCCTAC